GATGTGAAATGTGACTAGCAGGGCCAGACAACCACGGACTGCGTGAGAATACATCCAAACACCAAGGCTTTCTCGAGCTGCAGCGCTTGCATGAGGCTGTTGAGGCAAGCGGTGCGACTAGTGTTCCTTGTGCCAGCAAAAGGCAGTCCAGAGTCCAGCTATGAACATCGAACAGCGCTGTCGTCGCAGCAGCAAATCCAATCGATGGCTCACTGACTCACCGCAGGGCTTTTCGTGCGACAGGCCGACGATGTGGAGCCTTTGCAGGCAGCAATTCTGCAAGCCCAGGCACGACCAAAACTTGGACGATCAATGTGAGGTGAAGATTGGCTTGTTCATTGAACTGGGATGGTCATTTTCTAGCCTCACAGGACGCAGGCGTGTCCGCCGAGGAGGCCCGTGAAAATGACTGCTGTTAATTGCTGTGATCCGCCGGTTCGTTGTCATGATCCAGCATGTAGAAGAGATTTGGACAACTTTTCGCACAAAACGAAGAGGTGGCCTTTGCTCTCGCTGTTTGTGCTCAACGCAAAGAGCAACGCAAGCGACAAGCACTGGAGGCAGCTCAGCGGCGAAGACTGGAAAAGACTTAAGTTCCCAGTGCCTCCCGTGCCTTGCCCGATTGGAATCTTGCTGAGTGCCCAAGCAGAATTGCACTTCCGGAGGCGTAGCTAACAAGACATATCACTATTTGGAATGACTTTCCAAGCTCGAAGCATTGACGCACGCCTACAGGACCCTCCGTCCCATCGATAACTACCCACTTTGTTCTTCACTGCCCACTCGTTGCTGTGTCGCACATTGTGTTGATCGCTTGCATGATCTTGCATCCCTCTCTCGCCATCTACTCTTGTGAATTATCGTGCTCGCAATGTTTAGCCTGCGAAGGCGCTAGACAAATGTGGCTTTCACTGATGCCTGGAACCTTCGACAACCAAACAGAAACATAACTGCTGCATTGGCTAGCGGGCATCAGCGATGCTATCAGGTTCTGCAGAAGGTCAGTGCCTCCTGCAATGGTAAAGCTCTGAGCATCAACTTGGATTTTCCAAGACGTGCTGTGTGACTTCATGTCCGGTCCGGTGGCTTTGCAGCGGCAGCTCTCGTCCAGCTGCAAACGTGGTTTGGGTGTGCTGGGGTGCTATGACTGCTGATGTGCTGAGGCATGTCAGGGATCGTGAAGCTGCGGTCGGCCTTGATGCTTGCACGCGCGGCAGGGGTTAGCCGGATCCCTAGAATGCCGCATCATCAACAGAGGGTATGCTGGTCGTCACATCGCAAGCAGAGGTCTCGGACGCTCCCTCCTGTCCATTGCAAGTCTTCGCAATGTCTTGGCAGTTTCAGCGAGGCCCCGAAGAACTTCGGCCTGCAGAAGAATTGCGTGCAGTGTGCTGCATACCCAGATTCAATCCAGTCACGAGGCACAGAGCTATGTCATGTCATGCTGCTTCGATCTGCTTCGTATGGTCGATCAGGTGAAGCCAAAGCTCGGCAGCTGCTTCCAAGTTCATTGGCGCGCCCGGCATGTGTATGGCGTATGGCTGTTGAAGCTTGGAGAAGGAAACGGGCACAGATGATATCAAAGGACCGAACACGGGTGCACTACGGTGTGCAATATCTCCTGACTCTCGAAATTGTGTGGTCGAAAGGCAATACACCGCCGCGACGCTGGCCAACCTCGCCCAGGCGCATGCATGTGCTGTGTGTACCGCGCGTCGAATCACATCAGTTGAAGGCGTATGAATGAGGGCTGGTCTGCGACCCTGAAGTTTTGAGCCCTCTTGATGCAGGCCAACGCTTGCGATGGGCTGATGAGGTTGACATCTCATCCACCGTTCCCAAGCTCATTCTTCCCAGCATTGTGCTAAACCACTGATAGACCAGGATAGGCGATGCACTTTTCGCGAAGGTCACCCACGAGCCACCCCTAGATTTCCGACGCCACCTGATGTCTCTCAGCGATGCTAAGTCAGGAATCATTTAGAGGATTTAGCTTTGCAATTGGATGCCGCCTACAGGGTCGTTCCTGACGAAGCCGATCACTGCTCATGTTGGGACATTTGCAAACAAAGCTGAGTTGCTGTACACTCGAGGTGTAAGAGTTCCCGAGATGAACCAATGAATGCCTCGGTGCTAAGGTAGAGTTTCCGGACTTGGCCATGAAGCGAAGTCAGCCAGTCTGGCATTGAGCCAAGTCGCTGGAGAAAGGTGCGTTGGTCTCGTTGCACCAGCTCTTTCGCACCAAAGGCCAAATCTGTTTGTACAGGTCATGGCTCAGTCTTGCTGACGTCCACACTCGGGAATTCAGGTTTGCTGACGGTACAGTCTACTAGAATCCTCGCCCTTCTCTCATCGAGGATCGTTGACGCTGAATTCTCCGACTCTGGCCAGCGATTTTTGTACATAGACGCGATCAGAAGCAGAAGCCTTTAATTGACACAGAGACGTCACTTCACATGCTCTGCAGGCTCGTACCATGAAGTTTATTCACATGCTAGATGAAAGCAAGCAGCCCTCACTGTGAACACCGCTCACCACCTGTGACATGTGTAGACAGGCGTTCGTCTCGGATTGCAACCTAGAAGTCAGACACGGGACCTATATACTTGGATCTTTGAAGCATGACGAGTTGTAAACGCTGTGCCTTCGCACGCGCTTTCAATCCGTCTATATGGGGCAAGCAACTGAAGCTGCAGTGCCGTGACGAGTTGTGGATGGGCTTTCTAAGGGCTTCGAGCGGTTGCCATAAAAACCTTCGGCTCGTAGGATTGCGAAGGCGCCTGGCCTCAGCAGGTTATGCAGAAGATTATGCCATCGGCCTTCTGCAGAAGCAGTTGCATGCAATCGGGCCCAACTGTGCATTTCAACATCTTTGTGTTCAGTTGCATGGGAATGGCTTGCCCACGTCTGGTTGTTGCAAGTGGAGTTGCCTCGGCTGAGGCTAAGATGCTCTGTGCATACTTAACATATGCAGATATGCCGATATGCCAAACCCATGAGGCCATAATGAGTCCAAAATGGGAACTAAAGTCTACAGTAGGAAGGGTTGAGAGCATCGACCACAAGCCTTGCAGAATGGTTTTTTGTTTCGGTGGCTTGATTTGTGCGTGTCAGAAGCTGGGCAAGGCAAGGAGAACGGCTCCGAAAATTGGGCGGGAACTCAGCGCAGCTTAGACCCCGGGGTGCTACACCTCAGGGCGACGTAACCAGAAGTTCATCCGTTCCGGATTGGATGTTTTTGCAGATAGACGACCTCGTCTGATGCGCGGTGGTGATTGTGTATGCCTCGGGTTTGTGGAAATCTGGATGATAGTGCTTGCGCCAGTACGTACTCTAATTAGCAATCAGCGCTGCTTGTCGAAGTCCAAGAGCATCCCCACTAGATGCACTCGTATCAGGAAGATTCTGCGAGCAGCAGGGTTCTTGAGAATCGGGCAGGACATGCAGGGCGTTACGGCCCCGAACCTGGCAATTGCAATGTTTTAATACAGTGGTAGACAGTCGTCGATGACCCCTAGATCCGGAATTATTCCTTCCAATAGTAGTAGTCAGTCGTCGTCGTAGTCGTCATGGCAGCAGCAGTGGCAGTGGCGGTGGTAGTAGTAGTGGTGGTAGTTGTCGTTGCGGGTGTCGTTGTCGTTGTTGCATGTTTTGTTGTTGTTCACTTTCGTTGTTGTCATCGGCTACAGCCGTCTTTACATGTCGCTTTAGACTGACGGCCGGTTTGGCCTGCGGCACTTGCGCCGTGGTTCGCTGAGCTTGGAGGGGTTGTTTGGTTTGGTTGTTGTTGCCGTTTCTGCTGCTGCATTTGTCAAGTTTGGAAATGTTTTTGGTCGCTCCACCACGGACAGGCAGCTCGACCTGCAATCACAGCCAGATGCTACAGCCTACAGAGCTTGCAGATGCACGGTCAAAGATGTCTCTTCCCAGCCATGCTTCGGAAGCTTGCACGTAAATTTTTGTTGTGCAGGAGACGTTCTGAAGGCATTACTGGGACAACTCGGATATCGAGACTTTACATAGCTGTTCTGTAGCATTGGTTTCTGACAACAATGCAATATGGCCTTGATGAGTGTATGACCTGCGCAGCTGCGAGATCTTTAAATTGTTCGATTCCACGGAATGATTGCAAGCATGGGGGAGTTGTCATACCGTCGAGGTGGGCATTGTCCAGAAGAGATTAGCAGGCTCGCAGAACCGGGAATCTGAATGGCCTTTCAATGGCAATTTAAATCCGATTGGCTTTGTTTGCTGCGGCTTTCTTTGCTGTGTGTTCTGAAGCACTGCAGACGGTGGAGGGCCACCGCATTAAGGCTGCAGATAGTGGCGCGAGGTTCCCAAGCAGATTCAGCCTGGCATGGTCCTCCATACTTCGACCGCCGGTCGACGAACATGACTGGAATCTGCTTGAGATTGGAGCAAGAGAGTTGCTCTGACCGCGCCTAATCCTGAAATGGTTTTCCGTCGCAGCCCGCGGCAGTTGATTTGCCCTGCAAGTCATGTATAGAAGTGCACTACACTTAGTTGTGCCATGTTACATCACACTGCGCCATGCAGAGGACACGAAGTTCCGTCACTTGCATTCAGCATTGAGCAATCCGCGACACTCAGAAAGCTCGGGCCGCCAAAACTGGACCACATGAAGACATGCGCAGCACAGCTGTGTTCTTGCCTGCATCCTGGCTTGGTGGGCCTCTTCCCTGCGATCATCCTTACAGACATCACACGGCTGCGTGAGCACTGATAGGTACGGTGTGTTGTAAGCCCGCTGCACTTACGATGGTCAAAGTAGACGAACCACTTGCTGGCTCTGTACATGAATCTTGTGAGCATCAGCGCCGAAATAGAGGAGGGCACAGTGTGGAGGCAGCCGTTTGGAGTTTAGAGAAATCCATCGCACGGATCTTTTGCAGCTCTTTATGTGTGTGACAGTGGCTCCCATCATGGTAGCTACAGCTATGCCGGACCTCAAACAAAGGCGAGGGTGCTAGGCATGCCAGGCGAGCGGCTCGCTTAGCGCTTAGCGCTTGGCGTGTCATGGCAGGCCTGGCAGCTTCTGCTTGTAGGCGGTCAGGCATGGCCTTGACCTGTCAACCCACATCCCCAGTTTCATCGGATGTAGATGCTGGAAGTGTAGAAGTACCTGCTGCCGTTTGCCAGCCTTTTGCAGTGGGGTGGCCTTTACATCCGCTCGCATTCGGGCGGCTAAACCCTTCCTCGCCATTTGGCTGCACTCAATGCCTGGAGTAACGCAGACCTGTTTGGCCAGGTGCTCGCCACCTGAGCCATGCATGCTGTCAACTTTGCTGGGACTAGATATTGCTCATGAGCATCATAAGCTACAACAAGGCAGTCCGTGAATGCACAAGGACGAAAGAATGGACAAGATCTGTGTCGCTTCTGGACGAGCTAAACTGCAGGGGCTTGCAGGCGGATGTGATTACTTACAACTCTGCTAGCCCTGTTGCATGCTCGTCTGGTGAAGCCTGGCGAGTGGCCCTGCTGGTGCTTCGGTGCGCCACCTCATGCCGGGTACGTCAGGACGTAAAAACTTACAGCAGCTCGGTTACGGCTTGTGGAAAGGCAAAGTGGCAACGTGCCCTTTGTTTAGCAAGCCAGATCCATGTCACTGGCCTTCGCCTGGATTCGATTGCAGCCACTTCTGCCATCAATGCTTTGGAACGTAAAGCCAACTGGCAGCAGGCCATCCTTCAACTGCTTGATTCTCGCAGGGCCAACTGGCAACCATCAGCTTTTGCCGGTAATGCTGTCCTCCGTGCAACTTCTACATGCCAGTGGAACAGAACCATGCATTGTGTCCTAACTACCTTGCAAGCTCGGGCTATTTCGGGAGATATCATCACGTACAACAGCATGATAGAGACTGCTTCTGATTGGAAGCAGGCCATCTCACTGCTGCAAGATATTGGCGACCAAGAACTGCGACCAGACCTGGTTACGTGGAACAGCCTTATAGCTGTTTGCTCGCGTGTAGTTCAGTGGCAGCGAGCGCTCGCACTTCTTGACATCTTGAACGATGTCATCAAAGCAGATCTCGTATCATTCAACAGCACCCTTGCGGCATGTGCCAGGTCCGGCAAGTTTCAGCAGGCTCTTTTATTGTTGGATCGAATGTTGCAACAGGACATCCAGCCCGATGTGATAACGCGAAGTGCTCTGATGAGAAGCTGCGCAAGGGCGACGGCTTGGCGGATGACGTTGTTCCTGAGCTCAGCGAGACAAGCGAGCATGAATGCCATTGCATTGAACGAAGTTCAGCTGGCCTGTGAAAGAGCGTGTGAATGGCAGCTGGCACTGCAGCACTTCGAAGAAGCAGAGCATGATTTCAGCCAGTGTGTATATGTATGTAACTATATATTTATATATACATAAATATGTATCTATTTGTGTCTCTGTGTGTGTGTGTGCGCCTGTGTTTGTGTGTGTGTGTGTCCAACCCTTGCAGCAGATCGAGCGGGATGGAGATTGGCGGCTGATTCCAACTTCATGTATCGTGTTCTCTTTGACCCGCCTCAGGATTCGCTTCCTTGGGCAGCAGTGTACTCCGTGTTCGTGTCAATTCGAAGAGTGCTCTTCATGAGTCCAGCCAGAAGACGATGTGCAGTCAGTTCATGAGTTTCTTTACCACGGAGTTTCGGACTGGTGTCTTCGTGCACTATCGCATGGGAAGTTTTTCTCCTCTATTGTGCCGACTGCTGCAGTAGCCGAATCAGTGTTGCTTGCACAGATCCTGAAAGGCATCCGTGAAGCGAAAGCTGACATTGACGCAGTTGCCACACATGTGTTCACTGCCTAGAAGCCAGGAGTTGCGCACTCGTGCCGTGGAGCCAGGCACGACCGTGTATGCTAGCACTAAGCATCCGTTGGGTGAAACACGGAAGGTGTTTCGGCTGGTAAAACATCGCAGGGGATAAGAACACATCGAAGATGTCTCCGCTACGCTCGATGTGCTATCGACGTTCCTGTGGTGCACATGGCAGAACATGAGCAACGTGCTTTGTCCGTGGCCACTGTGCTAAAAGACCCCACTGCTAGTGAGGGACAAGTTTGGAATGCCAAGACATCCCACCTTGGAGATCAGCTAGCCGAAGGCTAGAGGTTTCCTCCGGGTTCGCCTGCTGGCTAGTGTACTGCGCCGAGTAAAACTTCAGATGCTCCAATGCTGCAACTTTGTTTGAGCCGCTTGTCACAAAGGTTGTGAAGGTGTCCAAAGACAATACATTGCAAACTCAAAAGGACTGGAGACTCTAAGAAATTCTTGTAGATGAGTGAAGAACTTGAGAAGAGTTGCATTGAGCTCAGTCAAGCAGGCATTGCTCTTACGCCACGCAAAGTAGGTGCCAGCACATCCGGGCACTTCCCTTGACAATGTCGCCTGCTATCCAGCCTTCCACATCGTGGGACGAGCCCCAATCGAAGATTTCGGCAATTCCATAAGATGCGTTGTCTGGGCATAGAGCACGACCGAAAGGCCCCGGTTAGGATGACGTTCAGAAATGAATGTCAGCATTCAAAAAGTCATTGGGAAAGCGCTTGTCCGAGTTTCAAGAGCATGTCTCGAAAATGCCGAAGACCATTGCTTCGGCTCATGGAGTTAAAAATGGTGACACGCATGCTAGGATCCTGCCATGCCGCCAATCTTAGTCATGCCGTCTTTGCATGTATTCTTGACCTAGCCGCACTGTTGCACACAGAAGGGCTGTGCCACAACTATCGCAGTTGGAACTCATGCTGCGCTCGGACGAAAGCGCGTCGCATTGCGGAGTTTTCTAACACATAGTTGCAAAGCGTAAACCCCTTCCCACATAAACTCCATTTACGAAATGTGGGTTTGAGGCCCGGACGTCAACATTCCTTTTTTCAAAAAAAAAGAGTAATGTACGTTTAAAACAGCGTAGAAATTCCTGCGCTGGCCAGGCCGCGTAAAATGCACTGGCTGGTACTCAGGTATTCCGAGTCCCCTGTCAACCAAAGACATGCTAATGCAACAAAAGTTTTCATCCTGCTCATGTAATGGTTCATGTCAGACATGTAGTCGGTCAGCACAAGATTCGGTTGAATGTGTGGGAGGTGTGGTAAGTACTTTTAGATTCGGGCAGACGTGATTCAAATCATGGTACGAGCCCCTCGCGGCTTGAGCGTGTGTATGTGTGTGTGTGTGTGTCCAACCCCGTCTCGAAGGGCTAGATGTAAACATAAAAGGTGCGCAAGGGACATTGCAAGTCTTGCGCCAACGAAACAACAGTCGCAATGATCCGTGATGGGAGCTGGGAAGCCAACTCCTGTACTTGCCGTGATGGTTTCAAATTAACTGCAGCTACAATCTTGGCTGTGCATTGTTTGTTTTCGGTGTTTACATCGTTATTGTACCTGGGCGAATGTTGATTATGCACAATTGATTCTTGCAGAGTTGATTCTGGAAGACCGACTTGATTCATGGCGACACATTGTCTCATGTGTGTGTGTGTGTGTGTGTGTGTTTGCGTGTGTCAGTGTACTTGTGGAGGTGAAAAGTTGGTGACAGGCACATGTTTAAGTCATGACGCCGCGCAATGGTGCATGCCAAGGATTCAGGCGAGAGATGTGTTTCTGCTGACGTATTGATATTCAATGCTGTCATCGGCGTGTTGGAAAGCGCAAGCAAGTGGCAGACTGTGTTTCGCAAGTTGCATTGCATGGTGTTAGACATGTTGCCGCCAGACACTGTCACATACAACGCCGTCGGCAGTGCTTGCGAAAAGTCCGCGATGTGGGAATGCACTTTGTGGTGCCTGCGAGCTGGCAGTATTCGGCCAGACATGATTACATGGACATCTGCCATTGGAGCATGCAGCGCGTCCCGGGCTTCATGTCGCTGGAAGCGAATGTTGACCTTGATCCGGGACGCTGCCACAGGACACCTGCAGCCGAGCCCTCTGATATGCGAGAAGGTCGTCAACACTCTGTGGCAATCTGGAAACCTCGCGCAGATACAATTTCACATGCCCCGAGCTTGCTCAACAAGGCAAGCTTTCGAACTTTTGCGCGGCGAGGCATTTTCACATGTGTCTGTGCGCGGAGGAAAACAGAGGTAACATGTATGATGAAAGAGCTCAGGTGACGAGAAGCAGGGATTGTACTGCGGGCTCCGGCATGTCAGCAGGGGGATGCGAATGCCCAAAGCTGTTTCCCTTGCCCCAATTTATCTCAATACCCCGTGATGATGATGTGCCAGAACCCGAGATGTAAGAGTGGGTCTGCATCTTTGGAAACTTTTGGCAGAGAGCACATGGCCCGTTAGACGTGGGGCGCACCACTGGGAGCCAGATCCCATGGGTCTCACGCTTGCAGAGCTCAGCGCGGAAGTGGCTTTTGCAGAAGCTCAGCGAAGCGATCTGCACGCGGCCGGCGCGGCCGGGCCATTATCGACTGAAAAGGCAGCAGCCGCACTTCTAAGCGGCCTCTTCTCTCCAGTCGCTCTGCAGTGGAAGACCGAAATCGCCAACGGTCTCACGGCCACAGTTTCTAATTCGAAACCACAGCAGACGTCTTGTAGTTGCGGAGCTAGTGCAAAGAGCGCTGCCAATCGTGTGTCATGAAAAGCTGCTAAGGTCAGGGCCGAAGTTTCCCGGGAATTGACATGTTGGCCTCCGGAGTGGGTGCATCTCACGGTCTCCCATGCAGAGGCCACCGAGTCTTTCGTATCTCCCCTGAAAAGGTGAGCAAAGGTTCCCTTCAGCGCAGAGTGCACACAATGCCGTTTGCGTTGCGCACCATTGGTTGATGGGTCTTACCTTGCACTATCTTAACCTCACTGTGCACCTGCGGTAAGCCTCCGGTGCGTGTGTCGGACATCCTTCGTAGGGTGTCAGCGATGATCGGCTACAGCGCTGTCTGGAGATCAAGGTGCCCTCCAGACTCTCGACCTAAACTGCCTTGGCAATGCAGTCAGCACGTCAACGGGTGTCCATGTTAAAGTGTCGACCATTTGGCAACCTCATGAGGTGTGTTGCCAGCACAACTGGACAAGATCTTGGCAGGTGCAAGCTTCACAGGCAGTGCGGTAGCATTTGCGGAGTTAACGGCGATCGCTTGAATACGTGCACGGTGCAGATGGAGCTTTTGCTGCGTGCAGTGCTACATGTAGCATATGGACGCCCATAGACCCTCCAACAGCCTCTGTGGGCTTCCAGCCCTGCAATGCTGCAAGGATCGAACTGCGAGGCAGAGGACTGGAAGCAAATCGCGATTGACGTTTGCACAGCCTTATGACTTATGAGCTTTTCGAGCAGAGCGCAAGGGTTTCGCAAGAAGTGAAAGGGATTCTTGTGCATTCCACACAGTGCACGAAATAACCGGACTAGTAGGTTTGCAGGATGCTGGTTTCTCCATCCTGAGTATCCCACGGGAAGAGTGGAGTCCCACTCGCTATCCTGTAAGTGTGGAGCCGTATTCCTGAAGGGGAGACGAGATTGAATTTTCTCGGAGTCTCGTTCGACGTAGTAGGGTTTCTTGAAGGGTTGTTTTCTCCTCTAAGATGCCTTGGCTTTTCCTCTAGCATTCCTCCTCGGAGTGAGCTGCGGGATGTGCGTACCGGAAGGATTCGAGTGGAGGCCATAAATCCTCGCGAGGGCATCAAGACACCAACGAGGAAAGAGAGGCTCATGCAAACACGACGGGTTGTCAGAAGTGACGGATTGACTTTCCTCGGGAGGAGGCCTCGACATCAAATTTGTCGGACGAGAGCCCTTGCACAATGGAGGATTGAAGTCGGTGATGGTGGTTGCCGATGAGCCGAGAAGTCAAGCAACGTTGAACAGCGAAGCATAGTGTTCTGGCCATCTGTGGGACCTCAAAACCTTCACACGTTTGGTAGTTTGTTCATATCTTCGCAGTTGGGCTTGACAACAACGATCAGGCAAGTGAGAGGTTGATTTCGCCATGCTGAGGATGGTAGAAGACAAGGTCTTGATTGAGTCGAAACTGAGGACAATGGCAATCATCGATCAGTGTCAGGCACAGCATGGGACACCATGGTGTGCCGAAGTTCGCGCAACAACATGCTGAGCTGGTCAAGAGTGCCTGGCAGGCTCGTGGCATCTCGCAGCCCATGTCCTTGGCGCAATGGCATCATGCAGTCTGTGGGCACCATGCCCTTTTCAACCTACGTCGTCTTGTCGCAATGGCACTGGTTTGAAGCTGCAGTTTGGCCCTGACGCAGTTCCAGGCTGCCTCCTCTCTGGCGACTCCTCCTTTCTGCAAAACGAGCCACGCTTCTGGTGCCAAGCTCTTTGCGACATTGAGCGACTGATATCAAAATATCGTGCCACCGTGAAGTGGACGAACTCGCTAAGCTCGAATCGTCGAAACAGCGCTGAGGCGATTGGCTCGGCACGGGGAGACCAGCGGCAGCTGGCCCAGGAGCCGCTCTTCGCTTTGCGGAACTTGCAGCAAGTGCGCTCGGGATCGTATCAGGAGTCGCGTCACGGGTGGAATAGCCGACGAGGTGCACCTGAGGTTTCTCGGATGCCATGGCTCGATCTTGCTGATATCCATTGCTGGGCAGCGCTTTTGCATGTTCTGCCTGATAATCAGAGGGCTTGACGAGTGCTGTTATTCATATTGTTGCGAGGAGTAGCTTTCGGCTTTCTGGAACGAATCGGACCAAGGCATTTGGTCAGCACAGACCCTGCTCTCTCTGGCCGGGTGAGTGTGGCTTCTTCTTTGGAGAGTTTACAGGAGAGGCCAAGCTCACCTCCCCACCACGGAAAGTGTTCGAACCGGAAGGGTGGAACGGATCAGCATCGACTGTTTTCGAGAAGTGTGCAATCTTGTGGGTTTGGAGCAGAATTGAAATTGTGCTCGATGTTTTGTTCCCGTTCGAAGCAGGAGCAGCTTCAGTTGTCCTCGCACACGCATGGAGCACTTCGGCAGCAGGACCTAACGTCCAGGTCAGGAGTGACTCCCCCTTGCTGTTTGCAGTGACAACTGGAGGTTCACGGCTTTTTGCTGGGCGGAGCTACTCACTGGTGCCTGGAAGGGGGTGCAAATGGACCACAGAAGTGGTGGCAGCACAAAGATTCGATGAGAAAGTCATGCGAGTAAGAGGAGGGTTGAAATCTGCTCCCAATTACATCCCGTCTTTGATGGGTCCTGGGCATTGTGATAGCCGCCTTGGGCCTTGAAGGTACAGCGCTGCAGTTGTGAGCCGAGATAGGCTTACGAGACCAGGCAGGTCCCGCTCGCGCTACTAGGGGTGGCTTGTGTTGGCTTCCAATTTTAGACGAGCCCGCCCTCTCAGATGGCCTGAACACGGGCGGACACTTGTTTTGCGTGTCGCGGGTTCGGCAGAGAAATTGAAAACAGTACATAGAACTGTGATGGTATGTATATATATATATATATATATGGTACCCCCCCCACCCCCCAAAGATCCACGCTTTCTGTCTGTTTCGAGCTCTTCGTGTGCCATCCCCGTTTGTTTGTTCTTCATGTCGTCTGTATGTGTGTCTTCCTACGTGAATACCACAACACACACAAACACATGGTTGGGCGAACTCCGTCCCAAAGATAGTGGGTACAGGCTTTGGCCCCTTAGCCCCGGTGCAAACGGGTACAAGTTGTACCGGGGGAATCCAAGATTCCAAGATTGCAGCGGGGTCTTTTTTGGAATCCTGGAACTGGATGGGCTCCGGTATCCAAGATTCCGAGAAGGAGTTCGCAGCAATCTTGGAATCTTGGATTCTCCCGGTACAACTTGTACCGGTTGTACCGGTTTGTACCGGGGCTAAGGCCTGCATCCGAGATCCAATACCCGATGTGTTGCCGGCAACAGCCCTTCCCATCCCTCTCCCCTTCCCTCCCCTTCTCTCTTTTCACCTCCCCACCTCCCCCCTCCTTTCTCAACAACCCTGATGAATATTCCTTATTAGAAAATTTGTCTATCCCCCGTGTAGAGATCGTGTCGAGAATCCTAAACCCTTGTACACTCTTTATAGAAACCTTACAGATTCCCTTATAGGTTTTTTATAGAAACCTTACAGATTCCCTATATAAAGACCTTATAGAAATCGTTTATATAGACCTTATATGGAGCCCGTATAGAAAACCATAGATTCCTTATATAGAAACCTTATAGATCCCCTGTATAGAAACCTTCGAGAAACCCCTCATAGATCCCTTGTAGAACTCTCTTACAGATTCTGTTCCGAAACCGTGTGGGTTCCCAAAACAGCGGCCTTATGAAACACCTTGAAGAATAGATTATCTTGTATGGAAGGTTTTTTTGAAAACCCTTACAGATTCCTCGTAGAAACCATATAGATCCCATATATAACGACCTATGGAAACCTTCATACAGCTCTGATATGGAGCCGTTCCAAAAAACCCTTATAGATTCTCTTTAGAAGCCCTGTGAATTCCCTATAGAGACCTTTTAGAGATCCCGTATAGATCCCTTATGGAGAATCCATATGGATTCATTATAGAAGTCCTTGCATTGCAGAACCCCATCGTAGAACCTTATGGGAGCTCCCTATAGATCCCTGATATGGAGCCCTCATAGACAGCCTTTATAGATTCTTATAGAAACTTTATAGATCCCTTATATAGAGACTTACAGAAGCCCCTTATAGATCCACAAATGGAGTTCTTTATAGAAAACTTTGAAAGATCCCTTGCACGGAGCCTTCATAGACAACTGTTATATACTCCTTATGAAAATTAATAGATTCCCCTCTATGTGGTTTTTCCTCTCTAGAAACCACATAGAAGCCCGGTATAGATCCCTCATGTAGAGCCCATGTAGAAACCCTTACAGATTCCTTATAGAAATCTTATAGATCCTCTATGTAGAGACCTTGTAGAAACCCATGATATAGAAAAACTATAGATCCCTATAGAGAGAGTTCCTAGAAACTCATTATGGATCCCTCGTATGGAGCCCTTACAGCAAACCCGTTTATATTCCGTATAGACACCTTGTACATCCATTGCAAAGAAACCCGTTAGAAACCCCTTGTAGATCCCTCATATGGGGGCCTTATCGAAAGTTCTGTAGATTCCATACAGAAACTTTGTAGATCCTCTATGTAGAAACCTTATAGAAACCCCTGAAGGATCTTTTATCTTAGTTCTTATCGAGAACCCAGATCTTCGTGGTCGATGTCGATGCCGGAGTATTTGCGTACTTGTTTTGTCTCCAACATGCCATGAAGATATTACATTGTTGTGTCATATCCGTGGACTGACCTATGCAAGACAATATACATCCAGTCTTTGACATGAGACTACAAATGCCAGGAATCTTCTTGTGCATTACTTTCCTCATACACCGAGGGATAGTACATTTGTTGTAACCAGTGGCGTAGTTGTTTTCATACACAATGACGACCGATATCAAATGTAAACAGGTGCATAGCAATATCCTGCATGCGTGCGTGCCGGGATGCGTGGACGAACCTGCAATTTGACAATTGTGCATTTAATTCCATGTCTGAATCAGTGCGAGACTTTCTGGGTTTCGGTTTGTAGAATGCGTGATATGGCTATGTAGCATTTAGCTAAGCGATTGATATTGTCTATGTAAAAACTAGCTAAATAGACCCTAACGTCACGATCATTGTGCCATCGTTTGTCTCCATCACCGATCACCCGGTGTCAAGACACCACATTGTCGTTATCTTTTGCGTTTCAGAAGTGCAGTCGTGCTCGTTTGTATTCGTATATTCCTCCCTCGGAAAGTTTACGCTTTATGTCCATCACCCGTGTACCATATGCATACAGACATACATAAGGGTTTACACATACTGCATATACATGATATTGTAAGTGATGTGGGTACCAAGGGTAATCCGGCAATGCTGTGGAATGGTAATCCGGCAATGCTGTGGAATGGAAGGGTTGTTTCGGATTAATTGAGTTATATTTGAGGGGGTTCTTTCCGAATAAGGCCAAAACGCGCGAATCATATTTGAGGGTGTTCCTTCCGACTAAGAACAAATTGCGATTCATATTGGGGGGTTCCTTCCGAATAAAGCCAAAACGCGCGGATCTTTGAGGGGGGGGAAGCATATATATATATATATATATACACATGTAAACATAACTTGCCAGCTTAGCCATCAGCTCCCTCAGCTCCCTATAGCTCCCTGTGAAAGAAGGACACAACAAGATTTACTTCTTTGACTCCTACAACACACCACTGGCGGCAGTGATGTCAAATGCAGATATCGAGTCCATGGTGGAAGAGCAGCTATGTGTCAGTCGAACGAGCTCGATGGATGCTTTGAAGCAGAATCCTGCTTGGGCTCACAAGCCAAACGCTCATCTGGAAACTGCTTTCGAGGAGGGAGTGGAAGAATGGTGGAAGGGGGTCAGAAAAGCTTCTGTGTTCTGGCAGCATAAGCCACTGGATGTGCGCCGACAACTGATGCGCATGGACTTGCAACTAGCCAGGAGCTTGGTTGGTGAGACTAGGGGTCGGTACTTGTCACACAGTCACTCGCAAGCTGAACGGCGCGTTTCTGAGGTCAGAGATTTCTTGCGAGTTCTGGCAGACGCCTATTGCTCTGCCTGATGGCTCTGCCTGATAGGTGCAGTGTGCGGGATGGCACAAGTCCAGAAGCGTCCAGACTGGCCATGTACAGCCGTAATGCACCAGCAGAGAAAACCAATCGCTTCTTCTAGGAAGCCTGAGGCGCACTGCGTCAGCAACAGGAGCTTCTCGGTGAAAGGCGTGTCGTTAGCTGTGACATGGCCAGGTCAAGAACTGACACATCGGGAAGAACGCCAAGCACTGCCCATCCGCAGCCTCCCTCCAGAAATCCACAGTCGAGGATCAGCACAGTTTCCCTTCTTTTGCTGTCGTGCTTTGGTCCTGGCAATTGCGAACTGTCCAGGTGGCTAGCAGAGAGATATGCCTTGTCCTGGAGCCCAATAATCCCTGTACTGGATTACAACTCGGTGGCATTAATCACACCTGCATGGACGGCTGCGTTCCAAGAGCTTCGGGGAAACTCTAAACAGGAGGCTTGAGCGCGAACACGTCACCGAAAGCCCCTGATCCCAAAAATCGGGCGGCGTAAGGCCGAGACCGTGTTTCCGAAGCTGAAGCCACAAGCTTCAGGCTTATGGGTGTACCGAGAGTGCCAAACCCGGCCAAGCTGCAAAACCTGAGCTGACAACCCTAAAACCCCGAAAACCTCAAAGAGAGAAGGCAATCCTCACACAGTAAACCCAACCCCCCTTCTGTTCCAAAGGTCCGACCAACAGGCTCATCTAGCAGAGGGGTTTCACACTCGAAACAGCAGCGAGGAAAGCAACCGTCCTGGCCCTACCCCCATATAGCATCCATAAAAGGCCGAAAGCCAAGCCCCAAACCCACGCCAGACGCAAGCCTCAAGCAGTCAAACAGAAAAGTTGGAAATTGGAGCGGAGTCGAAGCCCGAAACACCTCAAAAGGGCGAACCCGCGAGCCAGGCAAAGCAAAGCTTGGAGAGACAGAACCCACTCGCCACAGCATTGCTTAACCAGACTAGGACACAGTCAGTGCGACAGATTGCCTGGCAGCACATGTGAAAGCATAAGGCTTCGTGTCGTCGGAAGTCTGCGCGGTTTGCAGGAGAAGCGCGTTGTTAGTGAGCTCCGCGCCCTGCACTCTGGCGAAGCTTGACAGTGTCAAAAGAACTTGGACAGGAAGTCGCTTCGCTGTGGCAGCTATGATCGGAGAATAGGGATGAATAAGATCGACCTTAGCCTTTCTAGCAGTTCGTTTCATGACGGCCGAAGATCCTACCTTAGATCTGTCGCACTGCAAGAAACGCTGTCTCCGAGCTCTTGATTGTTCTTGCTGGTAGGCTCAGTTCCGGTGCAGAGCGGGCAATGTGTTCAAGTTTACTTTTGTGATCGTTTAGTAGGCCTAGACCAAGCGGGCACATGCTGGCTGCCTCACATAAAGTCTCGTAGCAGTTCGGACGGCATCAAGCAAGACCTTCAGCAGCAAGTTGACGGAACCGCAAAGCGAGTGCTGTCTGGACGCCCTCGTGGAGGATGAGGCGAGCGTCTCTTCAACAAAGCTGCGTGTGTGCCGGAAGAGTGACTGGTGCCTGGGGCGAAGGTGTGGTTCCAAGACTCCAACGGAAGGCATTCGTCCAGCGGTTACCCGCACGGAGCTCAGTCTTGAATTGTGCTGCCTGCTAGACACCGAATCAGAGATCAAAGCTGAGGCCTGGAGCTGAGAGAGGAGATTCAGGACCCGCCGCTTGCAAACATACTGTGCTGAATTGGATCCGTGTAAGATGAACGAAAGCATGCTGTTATGCAAAGGAGCAGCTGGATGCATTTCGACAGCTAGTCGTTGAGGCAGGCCATGGCAGTGTCAGTGTGTTGCTGCATTTCAAAGCGCGGTTTCGCCTCCACGTCCCTGACCACCGAAGTCACACGTTCGCCTGAAGAAAATGCACCGACCCGAAGCACCACCGGGAGTGCTAAGAAGCTCGAGATAGCTCGAGGGCCACAGCTTTCTCAGCATACAAAACCCTCGGCAATGGAGGACTGTACGAGAAGCCCGTCCAAGGATTTCGCTTGTAGTTGAAGCAGACCTTCAGACACACCATTCCGAATCTACTCGTATGTTCTTCGCTCAACTTCGATCCGGGCTCCTTAGCCGTGCCTTTCAAGCAAAGTTTCTCACGGAGCTGCAACTGCCCACAACCAGAAATCATCAACTCAGAGAAGTCTTAGTGCCTCAGCCTCGTACTAGTCCGCAAGATAGAGGCATGGTCGGAAAAGCTGATCTTTGAGGGGATTGCTGAATCTGGACAGCGATCCATCAAAGATAGTTTGCAACATTTCGCAACTCGACGCAACTCGCAATCCTTAAGAGAGTTGACCTAAGCAAGGCGCAGTGATTGGACGAGCGCTGCCGCAAAGCTCGTAAACGCTGCGATTGTACATGCTGACGCAGATAACAGGGCGAGGCCACTGATCGATAAGCTTGGGCTGACTGTCGATGAACTGCCAGCGCTTGCCAGGCAAGGCGATGCAAGGGTTGGCAATATCTCCACGTCGGCTCAGTCTTGTACTGAACTGACGTGGCCCTGTGCAGAGATGAGCTCACACGAAATCTGTTGAAATCCGGTTGCGGGAGGAGCGGTGCTGCATCGCCAAAGTAATCAAATGGAACGACGCCAGGTGGCCTCAAGAATGATTTCAGCCATAGTCCACATTTTTGCAGTCATTGCCTTCCGAAGCTCTCGAGATGGTGAGTAACAGCTCTCGTTGCAGCTCGTCACCAGTGAGACGATCCCACAAAAGCCAGCCACAGATGGCACGACTTCTCGACAGCCTTCATACATCATCATACGCATCGTGCGCGTGAGCTGCTGGTCTGGGAACGTCACTACCTATTCGCTCACAAAGCCTCAACCTTGCAGGACATCGGCCTGCGATTGCAGGATGCTTTGTCGTGGACAACTCAACGCAGGATTGCGCAGGATTGCAGGCATTCTAAAATTCTAGACGGTTCATGCACCAGGCCAGGCTAGCTGCTGAACTTGTGCCTTGCTGCTGTGTTCGAATTTCATCGTCCAGCTTCGAGATTACGTACTGCCGGCTGAGGATGCCGTCAGCTCCACCGTGGCAGGCCAAACCCCACAAGCCAAGGACAGCATCAGCAAACGCATCCAGCTTCCATTCTTCCGCCGGGGAACATCGTGAAACGGTAGTAGAATTCTCGATCGACATCTTCAAAACCGACGACTCACATAACCAAAGTCGAGATTCCGTGATTTGCTGCCATGGCCCTGCCAACGTGCTTCCCACATGCTGCATACTTACTTCATCACATGTCTGGTTCTTTGCTGCGCAGTGAGGAAGAAGTCCGAGATCTTGGCTCGCCCTCCTGAGCTGACAAGTCCAGAGACTTGCCCAGAGGATGAGGAGACCACTTGTATATCTGGCATGCAGATAGGGCTGCGGCTCCGTAAGATCCTACGTGCGATGTTGGTTTTAAAGGGCCTTGTTTCTGCGTGTTTCAGGAGATAGAAACGGTAGGTGCGGAATGGAGAGGCCTCTTAGTGAGGACGATGGATCATGGGGTGTGCACTATATGACTACATGCGTCATTGGAGCATGCAGCAGTTCCCAGTTCAAACACACCCACATTACACATGGCTGTTGCGCACTGCGTGTCGCTGTGAGGACATGGCTGAGATCACGAAGAAGGGCTTTAGGCCAGCGGAAAAAGCAGAAGAAGGTGTAGATGATTGCACCGCCAGCTCTATCGCTTCAGGAAGAATATTGAGTCGACGGCAGCTGCAGCAATGGCGAGGTCCCCAGTATGCTGTGCAGAAGTCCTGCGCCCTTCGAAAGCCAAGGAGTCAATGATCCAAAGTCGGAGTCGCGGCGAGTACTCCTTGGTATCCGGCGAGTCCATTGAGGCATCCAACAGCAAAGCTTGAGCCGAGCAGCCGAGCCATCAGGGACACTCGCTATGTGAAGCTAGAGCCTTGCAGGATGCTCTGATGGCAGACAGCGCAGGCCCTGACTCTCAGTGTAACACACAGGACGCGGTTTCAAGTCTGTGAGACTGCGATGTAGAGCTTCATTACGGCAAGCTGATGTAGGCTGCCAAAAGATTCGAACTCTCGCGTCCACTTCTAAGTCTGGCTTCCACTCCGAACAGCATGAGGTTGTTGCAGTACGACAGGATAGTGAGGAAGGCGTTGAGCGCAACAACTTGTTTGGGGTCTCTGGATACTGAGAATAGCACCCTTAAGCCCGGCACAAGCTGGGCCGTGACAACCTATTGCCCGTGTTGACCCGTGTTGTTTCAGCTGCCCGCGGTTGACAGGTCATCTGCAGATGAGGCCAGGCAAAATGACGAATCTCAGACGCCGGTGATCAGTGGAAGACATTAGACGTTCCGAAGAGAAGTTGAGTGTCGTGGTGCTCTAGAACAGGCGTGGAAGTATTCTAAGATTCTAGCGTAAACGTGATGCCCCCCGCTAGTGAAGCGCTGCATGGGTTGCTTAGCTTGATTCCTGAACCTGCCTCCCCTTCCAGTGCTTGGTACACTTCCCTGTGCTGGACCGAGTGGCATGTAGGCTTCTGGATACGGTGTTTCTGTTTTCGTTTTGCATGCTGCTTGTTGCCCACGAACCTTTGAGGAGTGTTTCGTGCTCAGCATTCCGCAATGTTTCATGATTTCTATCTAGCACGGCCGATATGGTTTGAAATGAGCAGCCATACAAAGCTTGCCTGGCAACATGCTTGTTCGGTGCATCATGCGGAGTCGGGCAGCACCGCTTGGCAAGTGCTTCGAAGCTCATCGAAGTAACTTGCAGGCATCAGCTTGTGCCAGATTCCGACAGAAAGTGGCTCGAGGAGACATGCTTGTGTTGGTGCGAGGTTCCTGCAATGCAGACGCTTAGCGGGCAGTTGTTGTCTAGGTTTGTTGCGTGTTGGTGCAATGCTTCCGTCGTTCCGGCTTAATCACCTGATGAACAAGCCGGTCGTGCTTCCTGTGAAAAGGACAGCGAAGTACCGTCCTCCTCAAGCTGAGCCCTTATCCGGATGGCCTCGCCCTTGGAGAACCTGTCTGCCTTGGCTTAGAGTGCCGAGGCCGGCAGCTTTGCTGCTCCGGGGGGCCATCGGTTCCACACTCAGGGAACCAAGTCGACATCGAGGAAATCTTCTTTGACAGCATGACTCTGTTGCGTCCCTCCTTATTCTATGAGGGGATGCACCGTCATCCGGCCACATAGCTGCCTGGAGGAGATGATGAAAGGTCGCCTCACACAACTCATCCGAGCATTTTCCTACAGATCACACCATCGACATCCCCGAACAGCGTGTGTTGCTCCATGTTCGGTACAGGTCTTGTGATTGCTGTTGCTTGGTGTTGATTTCGCGCCAAAAACCACTCAGAATCCCTGCCTCTGTGATTGCACGTTGGGCTTCATGTTTTTGAGTGCTATCCATACTGTTGTTCGTTTTGGTGTTATACTGCTGCTACATGTAATGTATGCTGATTTACAATGATTTGTTGTGGTCTTGCTCTGAAAAGCTCGTCGAAATGCCTACCTCTGCTGTTGCATTTCTGTGCGGAGTGCAGACCTAGCTACTTGGTCTGCTCATGCTTGCACTAAGAACGTTTTATTTTTGGTTGTTGAGCTATCACTGTGGCACATTTGCTGGAGCACACTGCTTGCAACTTGACACAAACAAGTGTCTTTTGCAATCGGACTTGGGTGATCGCCCCAAGCAAGTGCAACGTGCTGGACAGGAAACTCTGCAGGAAGGCTTAGGAGGAGGAGACGAAGATGTACAGCCGGCACATACTGACCACTTGCAACCAGCCCAAGTCTCCTTTCGGCAGGCTTTAGTTCATGGCAATCCGTGTTATTTCATATAGATTTTTGTCCGCTTACTTCATCAACCTCATCGACATTGCGGCGGCCACACTTCTTCCTCAAGCATGCGGAACGCGATGACTCAGAAACGAGAGGCATCGAACAAAAATGCATGCAAGAGATTCTGGGTACAATGAAAACCATAGCCTGCAGCGAGCGTGACGAAGCCGGAATGAGCTGGTCGCGTGTTTCAATATGCTGTCATTGTTGGCGAAGCTTGTAGAGTGTACCTTTGGAAGCTCACAACGCCGGGCATGGCATGGAGAAGTACAACAGCGATGAGGCTTACGAGCGTCTGGGCCGTGAGAAAAGGCGCAAGCAGTGACTCTGTGTCTTTCGCGACAAGGAGAGGTTTCGCCGTTGGCCCACTTGTGAGACCTCTGATATGTAGGATTTTTTTTTGCGTGATTGATCGTTGCAATACTAGTTCAGACCAGAGTTACAAGCCAAGGGTGTCAAACGCCCAGAGCTCTTTACCTTGGACCCGGAGCCAAAGTTCATTAAAAAAAGCAAACTGCCAAATTTCATTTCTCTCAGGCGAACAGCAGCCCAGCAGAATTTGTCGTGCAGGGCCGTTTTGCAACTTTGACAGCTTGGCAGTTTGCGGTTGAAACTGGCGTCTAGCTCCAGAGGAAGGCCTTTGAGCCAGTCTAGTCACCATACGCCGTCTTGCAAGGTCTTGCCGGAGACTCTAACATCAAGGCTCCGACCTCGGAGACGTTGAGTCACAAAGCTCGTGCAAGAGAAGCCCGGTCTCGCCACGTTCATTCAGATACTTCCACAGAAGCTACAGCAGCATCAACTTTCTCAAATCCGTTACTCGTGTCTCCGTCACAAGTCGAACTCATGGCCTTACTTTCCAGACACTGCATGCTACGTTTGCAATAGCTCAAGCCCATAGAGCGACGCCACGCCCAGATGTCTTTTGATTTCATTGTGCTGAGGCTGAGAGGTCTTGTGGAGTCGGACGAATTCGGCTATGCCGGACTCCTGGACTCTTTCTGAGCAGCTTCAACGCAGTTCCTCATCGCCGACAAAGTCGCTGGAGCCATACTCTGTCGGACACACATCACATTCCCTCACGTTCAGGCAAGAAGCCGTGCATGATAATGTGCCCAGGCTATCACCGCACTTGTCATGGTGAACGCGATCCTTATTGGTTTCGAGACTGACTACACGGCCAGCTGGACAAGTTAGTGAAGCCAAAATACGCGACGGAGAATTAACTTGCGCAGCGATCAAGCAGGAGTCTAGCAGTACCGATAACTTGTTGGAGGCAGCGTTGATGTGGAGAAAATTCATCCACAGTCCAGGATCTTGCTGATATACCTCTTAGGGTTCCGCGAGGTTGAGCAGCTTCTGTCCGATTAAATTGCGCTTTGCAGCTTCCTCAGATTAAGAATGTTTGCTTATTGTGGGCCCTTCAAAGGCCCCTCCAAAGTTGTGGCTTGGGTTGCGTGGTATATTGGGCTTTTAGGCCTTCATAGGCTCTCCATTTTTTTGGATTTGTGGCTATGTTCGAGATTGCTTGCCAATTTGGGCCCTTCCACCCCCCCCCCAAAAAAAACAAAGCACGCGCACACACACACACACACATTTCAGGTGCCATGCCAATGAGTTTTGGCCATTCTGAGAGAACGTGACTGAGTTGTTAACTATTTTCCACAGCCTGGGCTGCATGCAAGCAGGCAGCGGCAGTAGCGTTCAACGCCCTGGCACAGGCTCAGCATGGAGGCGATCGCAAGATGCCTGGCTCGAAGATATTGGGACGGGTCTTCTGCAACTCGGATTTGATGGATAACCGGTTTGCGTCTTCTGGAAGGTCACGAGGGTTCAAGTTGCTGCCATCCCTGTTTTTTGCAAAGTATCTGCAGTTGTTAAGTTTAGTGTTCGGTGCCCAGGACAAGGGCATGCCCATGTTCACGTGATGTGACATGCAAGGGAAGAAAGCCAGTAGTGCTTGATGGTTCGATGAAGCAAGCCGCTGCACTTCCTTGTCACCAAGGCTATGTCTTCACTGCGGAAGTTGCCATGAGGCGTTGCTTTAGCTTCCTGTTGGTCAGTGCGCTTCAGTTGTGACGATGGCATCCAGGTCCAGTTGATGTGAGTTGTCGTTTCTCAGATGAGGTGTAAAGTGGTCTTTGGCTAGCCACATTTGGAATGGTTGTGGGCCAACCGCGAACGTGCCAACCCAGGCATGATTCCCTTAGGCGAAAGACGGCAAGGGTGGCAAGTGGGGCGAATGAAAGCCTGTAACTCAAAAGTGCAAGAAGGAAGGACTTCCTTTCAAACTGACGGCTCGGGCTCGCATGACTGCCGGCTGGAGTCTGTTCAAATGGGCGAGCATGGGCATTGACGGGACAACTAGGACGAGATTGAAGGCCTTACTTACGTTCTTGAATTCTTGAACCAAGGCGAACCTCACCCGCTGTGCTGCTGTTGTACAACGCGGCATCTTTTTCAGGGTTTGGCCATTCCTTCAAGCTGTTCCAAGGTTCCGCATTGCGACACCCCAGCTTTTCCGCCTACATTGCCTCGGAGAAATGTTGTGCTGTGAAGGGTCTTGGTCCTGGGCGGCCGGGATTTTTTCATGGGCAGTGGCTGGAGGCAGGACATGATGCAGTTATCTACAGCCAACAGGAACCACAGATCTGCAGAGTTTTCAGTACTTGTATGAGCCAGACAGGAAACTCTGCCAAATCATGGTAGCGAGCTTTCGAGGGTGCAGCAGTGCAGGGTATCTCTTTGCACGTTAGCCATGTGCCCTGCTGAAGCTTCTCCACTGTTGCCATCGCCATGCTGTAGTCAACACTCTCAGCATGGTGTAGCTGAAACTGAGCGCTTTGCAGGCTCCTCCATTGCCACCCACTTTGCTACAGCACGTTCCTGGTAATGCATCGCTGAAGTCTTATTTAAAGCAGCATTGGTGCTAACGATCTGCTCGTTTGGCAAGATCTTGTCATAAACAGCTTGCAGATGGAATCTCTTCGACTTTCTCGTGGTTGGCTTGCAATGGGCAGAGGAGGTGCTCGCCATACGGGATGCTGCTGATGTCAACTGTTTGTTGCCTTGCCGTGCCGTCTTCTACGCTCAGAGAACTCTCTTGATCTCGTTTGCAGCACGTTTGCAGGTTGTTGATTGGATTTCTGTTGGCACCGGCCGTGGCCACGACCGGCGCCCAGTCAGATTCTGCTCCCATTGAGCCACACAAGGGCCACAACATGCAACCGTCCCTTCAGGCCCTTGCCTCAAGGCGTTTCGGTGCCACCTGCGCGACTGTTGACGAGTAAAAACCAACATTTTTCGTTCTCAAGGATGCCATGCCTGCATCAGTGTCGCACAACACTGTTCGGCGTCGTCAGCAAGAGATGAGATCAGAGGGAGAACGACTCTGATGCCAGAAACGAAGTGCATGCTGCGACGGGTAAGATGCAGCCTGCCTCCGGGTTGTGCGGCGGAGTATCCGCGGAGTCATGTTGCCGGTAGCGACATTCCATTCAGATTCGCTGGCATGACACATTAGCACTGCTGAGTCCAGTGTTGGTCATGGTGGGAAGGGCCGATTCGATCGTCTCCTGGCTAGGAGCGACGGAAGAGCTAACCAATTACAATGAATGGTGTTGGATGCGCTGTAAGCCGCACCGTGTGACATGACGGACGTGTTTTTTGAAAGCCGCGCCGACAGCGTGAGGTCCTGAACTTGGGCTTCCTGCGCATCCTTAGGACTTTGCGCTTGGGCCTCGCTTCTGTCGGAATGGGAGTCAGGTTGCCGACTGTAAACTGTGCTGAAGATAGAATTGGGCGTGAGGTGTGGTTCGCATCATGCGCCTTGCGCGCATCCTACACTTGGTTGTGGAGCTCCGTGACCCAGCAGAAGTTTCCCGAGGTAGATGTCTTTCTTATCTTTCCGATGACAGCGCTTGCCCTTCCAAAGTTCTTCGACTCATTCTTGCCATTCGATCTTCTCGCAATAGGGTCGGTCTCAGCCCCCCGCAGCCGCCATCAGGGTCCTTCGATTCGCTTTGAGCTCTTCTAATGGAGTCTGAGGGTGCGTGGACACCTACTTGACACCGCAAGCGCGAAATCTTGACCGGAGTCCGAGCTCTTCTCGGCAAGGTACCATGGTCTCCTCCATCGTGGCGTCGCTGAAACCGCTCTTTTGGGCCACACTGCTTTTCTCTATGCTCATCTACGCGGTCGCCGTCGCGATGACACAGATGGCGAATGCCTCGGCTTTTGGAGCTTGTTGGGATCGAGAGGCTTCTGAGTCTGAGAGTATTATATAATTACACAGACTGGCGTATAGGCGATCGCTCAGAACTGCATAAGCCTCCCCGTACGCACGATGCAGGTGTTAGGGGCTAGCTGTGTTCACAGCCCATTCAGCAACATGGAGGAGCACAGGAATGCACAGGTTGGAGGACATGGTCTTGTAATGACTAGTCTAGTCCGGGCCCTTGTTGTTTTCTGCGGTGTGGTCATGGCAGCTGTCGCGTGTTGGGACGACAGCTTGAAAGTTCGGTCTCTTAGTCGGTCACCGAAGCGTCAGATGTCATCATGGAGAATCCATTTGGACGGCTGTGTCTGCGACTTCCTTCAGCCATCCCCAGCGTTCCTTGTGCCACCGCCCAATCCCCTCCAGCCCACCCTCCCGAGGAGAACTTCATGGTTCAGACATGTTCAAACCCTGCAGGTGCCTCGCTTGAAGATGCTTGAAGGGCCTCCACAGGAAACCAGAAGCCCTACTGGTGCACATGAAGGCACCATCATGCACCTGACGGTGCGCCTTCCTCAAAAATGACGTGGAAGTTGCCGACTGCGAGCAACAGGGATAGAGAGAGCGAGATGGCCCTGCTCAGCTTACTGTTGATTGTTGCTGATTTGTGCTTCACTCTTCTTTTTCGGGCATACATACCTAGACACCCTCCGCTTCCAAACCGCGCCAAACCTTGGTGCAGCGGAGCGCAAGGCAAGGGCTGGGAGGGGGGGGAAACAACTTCCTCAGGCCCCTAGAAAGAGAGAGAGAGAGAGAGAGAGAGAGGTGGACTAAGCAAAGCAAAGAGAGAGAGAGAGAACAAAAAATACGCGCGAGGGGGTTGCAGCTGCGCCCTCTTTGGCTGAGTGCAAGCAAGAACAAAAAATAGCGGAGACGGGGGGGCAAAGGGCACCGGGTCGAGCCCATAGGACTGCCCAGGAGTGCTGGGGGCTCAGCTAAGAGTTGCGAGCCACTTTTCAGCACGGAGCTCCGAAGAGGCCGGGGGTTCGTAGGTAGTGTACGGGGCTTTAAGTGGGGGTCTCAGGCGCAGAACGGGGCCTCTATCGGAGAACTGGGGGTGTCACTGAAGACCGAAAGACCGGTGCGCGCACGCGCGCGAGGGCCACGGCCCTCTGGCCGAGTGCAAGCAAGAACAAAAAATATATAAAGAACAGGTGTGTGTGTGTCCTTGTGATCCTGATCAGTGTCCGGTTGGATTTAGGTGCATTCACCTTGTAGTCGTCCCTGTATGCCATTCCAGAGACCTTGCGTACCTCTACCGATGGGTAGAATGTGCTCCGACTGGGCCAACAGCTTCAGGCAAATGAGTTCAGGGCAGAGAATCGCGGCGTGGATACCGAGTTGAACAGGCACGATTCAAATTCTTTGCAGAGCAGATTTGGTTTGCAAGCCGCCAGGTATTTCAGTAGTCTGGGCACAGCGGCCTTGGCGCTGTGGGAGTGTATTTCCGGTGGGATGGATTGGCAGGAGCCGAAACAGCGAGACCCAGAGTCTCCCCTAACTTGCGCAAGGAATTAAGCCCTGTTTCAAAAATGCTGAGACGAGCCATTCTCGGAGGACCTCGCGCAACCGATGATTGAGAATGTCTCCCCCATCATGGGCTTGTTTTTTTCTGCATATGCTGCTAGGCCTGCAAGATTCCAAGAGCTGTCTCTCACTCTCATCACATCTGATCAAAGGTGTATCCAATGGCTTGATCGATGTTCCGTGTTTCTCCAGGCTATCAATGTGTACAGCTCTTTGTGCATTTGTGCGACCGAGCTAGATCTCGCTCATGTTTCGTTCTCAGACAGTGTCAAGCCTTGCCTGAGGTTGCTTTTTCTATGCTGGCGATGATGAATGTCATTACAGGCCCTCTTGCCCGAGCAGATTCCTACATTCCCGTTGCCCTCTGACCGCCAACACACGTAGTGTGTGCTCAGGTATTTTTGTGGACAATGCCAAGACCTATGCGCAGCAAGACAAGGACAGGAACGATTCTACAAGTCAAACCCCGCACTTTACGCTCTCTCGCGGCTAGGGGGCTGTTGGCGTCCATATGTGAGCGACACTCCGTCACACCTTCAACATGCTGAAGCTACTGTGATAGGCCTGCCTGGCTCCTCCGGATGGTTTTGTTTTCAGATGCGTTCGAAGCATGTGAACATGTCCAGCAGCGGAAGCTCGAAAACTACCCAGCTGAGCACTGCAGTCATCACTTCTCGGAGATGCCGCTGAAACAGAGGACACCTTTGTTGTGCGACACGTGCTCAATCTCTTCAAACAGAGCAATTTGGGCGAGTCCACTGCTATTGATTGGATTGTCGGGGCCCAAGCATCATCTCCAGCCTTGCTTGTTGTGAACGGCTGAAACACGCACTGGTGAAGGCACCCAGTGTAAGTCGATAAGAGTGCGGCTTTGCAACTCCAACTTGCCAGATTGATTGATTAAGTTCGATTGCTTGGGGGGGATCGTCAAAGTCTACAGACACTTGCAGTATAAGTCTGCTGCAACACCGCGGAACTTGGCAGGACTTCCAGGCGAAATTGGATACGCGCGAGCTACAGGACTGCCCAATCACGATTTGACTCAAAAGCTGCAAGGCTGCCGGCGATGTAGCTATCTTACCAAGCACTCCAACACGGCGCAAGAGAGAGAATATGTTTACAACACCTCTCGTTGAACGGGTGGGGGCAGACGGCAAGCAGGTGATTTTGCGTGCATATACCATCATGTTCTTGCGTCCACCGTCGAGTGCTAACGAAGCCGTCGCGATGCAGCGCACTGGCCTCACGATAGAACTCTAGCTCTGATGTGAAAGAGCGAAACTGCTGCACGCTCGCTATGATGTGTCACCGAGCGGTACGTCAGGGCACAGTTTTGATGCTTTGCATGATTGCAAGGTTGAGAATGCCGCATTCCTTCGTCCTTTGAGCATCCCGTCTCTTGCAGAAAGCACGGCATGGGTTGAAGGCATGCACTGCACCAGGAGCTTTTTGCTGCAGTGGAGGTCGACGTGTGGGCCACCTGGGCACATGCTGCGTAGAAGAGCCAGTTATTCTGAAGCATTGCTTGCTTGCTTCTTGGTTTCGAGGGCAGATGCGAGGAGTCTATTCAAGCGGGGCGCTTGGCGAGCCTGTCACTAGCCAGTCGTTAGCATATGGTGAATCGGTATGTTCTACTTGCCCAAGCAAATTTGAGCATGCTCCTGCTTGAGCCCCGAGAAAGCGCTAAGAAAGTTGCATCGCGCATGGCCGAACAGGGGGGCTTTACACGCAACCATAGTCTGAGTTGCGTGCCGACCCAGTCAGCTCGGATGGCGAGCACGACTATGAATAGATCGAGTTGTGGCATTGTTGCATCAGCTGCATTGCTATGTTTCAAATCCTCGTTGAGTTCTACGAGACCGCACAGCTCCGACACATGACAGTACATGGGCTGTGGCATGAGTTTGCATCCATGGCATTCCAGCAAAGCTAGCCGCGGGCATGCCAAACAAGGCATAGACCCACACAGGAAACATGACAAGATTGGGAGGGAAAAGAAAGGAGAGCTTCACTGGAACGATGGAATTTGGAGTATGATGTGGTGATACGGACGGTTGATGCTCCTGCAACTGCTCTAGCCTTCCATGTCCTTGTCGGATGTATCGGCGGTGGGAGTGGTTCTGAGTGGCTCATGGTGGCTGTCGATGAAAATCGAATTCTATGGCTCAGGTCAGACTGGGCCTTGGCCGTACGAAGCGAGCATGCGAATACAGCGCACTTAGCACGACAAGAATTTTCGACGTGTTGGGTAAGCATCATTTTTGGCTGAAGACATTGCGCTGCTGCATATGTCGGGAGCCCTGCCGGCCGCTCGTGCATCTCTGGGTCGGCCCCAAGGAAAGGCACTCGTGTGGGTGGAGGAGACAGAAGACTGAAGAGTGCTCCTGCCATGTGGTGGCACTTCATTGATAGACGAAGGGACGGGGGCGGAGGCAAAGCGGTGTTTTTCCACTTGTGTGTAGCCTGAGCTTCAAAGAGAGAGAGAGAGAGAGAGAGAGAGAGAGAGAGAGAGAGAGAGAGAGACGGCTCCCGCAAGCTGCCGAGTTCGGGATTGTGGTTGAGCATGGCGGCCGCAGTGTTTTGTAGTGGGACTTAAGGCGACTTTCTCCCGCAGGCGAAGCATTTCTTAAAGAAAGTTCCGTTTTGTTGAACTACAGGACATGCCGAAGAAGCAGAGGTCTCGATCGATGCAGCAGTGTTTGGGGATGAAGATGGATGAAGGAGCAGCAGAGTTCAGCAGAGGCAGAGATCTGAAGAGGAAGAGGAGCCGATCCAGCAACCGTTCGTTCCTGCTACACTGACAGTCATGGTTCTGGACTTCCAAATAAGTTTCGAAATCGGATCGGGATCAGGTAACTGATGGAGTTACAGACACTGTGCCGGGTCCTCGTACCTCGTGGCGGATCTGCTGGCCCAGCGGATCAATGCAGTGGAAGTGTCACTACACGAAGACGATAGCTCGACAAAGGCTCAACTGCGAATCGTTGCACCGGGTTAGCAGTTAGCAGCATGGTGGCCACACCAAAAACGATGGCGGCGGTTTCTGTTCGTTTCAGTTGCATGACCACGGCTTGCTGAGTTACTCGCAGCCTAGGCAAACAGCATTTTGGTTCGAGTGGTTTGTGGCTGAAACTTGAAGCCAAAAGTCAGCGATTGCGACGACGGGAGACGTGCATTGAAGGTTGTAAGGAAGCTGTGAGCGCATCGCAAATGTATGCGTCGGACGGAACTGCCTAAACATTAGCATTGTAAATGCTAAAATCCATGATGTTCTTGTCCTGCATGTTCAGACATTGCATGGAGGAGTTGTGCGGCGGATGTTGCATGAAACTTCGCGAATGTTGCCAACGATTGGTTGTCTTAGAGTCTAAAGCATGTTCCTGTGTTCCTGAATGTTTTGCATGCAAGCATTGCCAGTGCAATCCGGCATGTTTGCAGTGTGAGGCTCATTGATACTGATAACAGCGGCAGCGTTACACCAGAGGAGTGCGCTCCTAAGTTGTCAGGGTTTTCAAGCTTGGTCAGGGGAATTGACGCGAGGCTCAGGCTCAACGAGACGAAAGTGTCCCAAAGCTCCCTCCTAGTAGCCTAGGATTCCTTTTTTTGGAGCTCTGGAGGCTGATGAGAGGCTGGCTCCGGCTCCAGGGCCCGGCGAAGGTGCGATTTTTTTTGGAATCTTGCTCTTGCGATGGAAGCACTGTTCGCGTCCCGAAAGGCATTGGACTTGGCCTTGTTGCTGCGCGACTGCACAAGAAGCTTTGACTCCACCCAGAGGCCTGCAACCGTCAGAATGTCGTAGCACATGAATCGTATCGCACAAATTTCACTTGGCAGTGTTTGCCATTGTGAAAGTGTCGTTTTTTCCTGTTCTCTCTGCTGACCCCTCAGTGGTCCTGCCGGAACCCAGTTCGATTGTCGCACTCAGGTTCCTCAAAAAGGACGCTTTGTAAGCCAAACCTGCAACACCAGATTTTTGGATATTTCAGGACTCCAAGCACAGAAGGATTTTCCTGAATGTCGAGTCAGCACGAGGCGGCATATCTCACGACGATGTGGGGGTGAGGGCAGAAAAGATAGAAAAGGCCAACTTGGCACCGCGCTGGAGGGACATCGAATTCCGATGCAAACGACTTGCTGAATTTTCGTACCTGTGTATCAGATGACCAAGCGCACTGCGATCTGGGAACTCGAAGTGGCTTTTTGGCAGCTTGTGCTATGCAGGCAACTACATGACCTTCGCGTGGGTGTGTCGTGGCTTCTTCGGTCAATGGCCCGGGCCTTCGAGACGTGCAGGTAGAACGCAAACTATATGGACTTCGCAGGGACGTGACTCTGCTGCTTTCGCTTTTGCTCTTCTGAGGAAACCAGCTTGTTCCCAGATGATCCTACCTCTCCGCAGCTTGAGCGCCTCGCCTTCGTGATCGGACAGGTTTGGCGGGGATCGCTTCGACACTTGTGGCTCTTACACAATCCTGCATCTGGAAGAAGTCTTCGGTGACTGGTGCTTGAAGGAAAAAGGAGGAATCCTGAAAGAGAAAGAGCCCTCCGCTGAGGCACGCGCCAGCAGATCTGCTCCAAGAGCCTGTCAGGCCGCCCTTGGAAGCAGAGTATACATGTCGAGGACCCGAGGAGTCGACTCGGACCACCAGACCCATGTGAGTGTTCAGCTTCACGATATTGCATACTCGATCTACTCTAGTGATCTTCGTGTGTGTGATGTGGTGCGACATCTTATCAGCACGGTTTGCACTCAGATCTTTCACGTTGACGCCGGATCCTAGTCCAACGCCAAGGCTCAACGGCTCAGTGCTGGATTTCAGTGAAGAGTCCGGGGGAGATAGAGAGCCTCTGTGAACGCTGGGCTAGACCGGTAGACAATCCTTAGACAGGTTCATCGCCATTGCGCATTACCTGTGTTGAGGAAGGGGGAGCTCCGACCACCATCTCCTGTTGGCTTTCCCAGGCGTGATGCGTCCAGCGCTGCGTTTCCTTGTGGTGCAGTTGTCCTAGCGCTGCCCAGTCCGCGGTTGCCTGGATCCCGCAGCTCGGGTTTCGGCCTTGCCCCGCCGGGAGCATAGACTCTTAGACACGACCCGTGAGCCGTGCTGATGTTGTGTTCCGGACCAACTATGCTAAGGGAGCGAGGACGCGATGGACAGAACTACAAGTACCAGGCAAGGGGAGTTCCAGGTGCAAATCAAAAGAACATGTTCCCGGACGTTTTTTTATCAGCTTGAGCCCTGGCCACAGATTGAACCAGTATATCCAGGCCGTGGCCGTCGTGCGAGTGATGTGTAGCTTGACAGCCCGAGTATTTTGTATTTCACTGCCTGCTGCAGGTGTTGCCGCAAAGCTGATCTCCGCCGCCAACAAACCATAACATGAAATAATGTGCCATATGCAGCCCGCACGTAAAAGACAGTTTTCCGAGCTGATGCACAGACATGCTGCATAAACGTGCTAATTAAACAGTTATAGATGCCATCTTTTGCCTTTGGATACCGCAGGCTCCGAGCTCGCAATCTCCTGGCTTCAGACTTCAGACCCGGTTGCATAAGACGTTTATTAAAGGCTTCGCTCTGCCACCCATAATCAATGGTTTGCGAGCGTTGGAACCGCGTCTCAGGCGTGTTAATGAATGGGCCCAAAGGTGGGACATGAAATTCACGTTGCCTAGCAAATGCAAGGCATCGTGCAACGGCCAAGTGGTCCCCACATTGTAATTTGACTCGCGAGCCACTTCTGCGTGACTAACCATGTTGTTTAACCATGTCTGGCCTGCTGCGATGGTTCGAGCATCAAACACCTCTGCTTTGCGGCTTCAATCTGGGGATTCGGCCGATGTTGGTGTGAGTGGACCCAAAATGGGAACTCGTTCCTGATTTTGTCCTGGCATGTGCATGCCACAGCCTTGCAGTTGATTTCAATAAGTGTAGCTGTGTATGCGGTATAGCACTATGAGATACTATGACCGCGTGTCAACATTGGACCCGTCACCAGCCTCCGATGCCTAGACAGCTGGGACTCCGACAGTGGCTCATCTTGGGCAGCTTGAGGGCTGACATGACTCCATTTTGCACCGTGTCCTGTTGCCTTCAAGTCCTTTCTCTGGCAGTGCAAAGCTATCGGTAGTTTTGGTAGTTTTCATTGCCGGCATGGGTAGCAGCAGCCGAACCCAAGTTACTAATGAAGCCCATACTTTGCCACTTGCGCAACACAGGGAGCATGTTGACTTGTCCAGGCTCACACTTCCGGTTCGCATCATGGGCTGCTGTATGCCGAATCAGGGTCCGCCCACATGCGTGGCGGACAACGGATGCTTCCGGCGGTGGGTAGTGTTCATCGACCGCGCTGAAGCATTTTTGAATCAGGGTTTAGTGTCCTGAGTTTGGGATCTGTCTCAGCTGAAACGGCCAGAGCAGCTCAGCTCAGGATAGATCGATTGATCGAGCAACCAAGCCGCAAACCCCGGGCAACGTTGTTGTTGCTTATGTGGGTTTTACGTTGAAGAAAGTTCGTGAAGCGGTTTCAGAGATTATACCTTGACACCATTCTAACACGGACAGGCATCGTCTATATACATGCTGAAGCAGTCTTACCCTCACACCCTTCTCTCTGCCAGGTTGCTGGATTTCTTTGCGACATCGATGTATTGCTTAGAGTCCTACAAGAGCATGGCGGACAGCACCACGACTTATGAGAGCAAAACACGAGGTGCGAGCTTCATTTGTGATTCCCCGATACCGTGACGCAGCTTGTTTGTGTCGGTGTTTCGTGTCAGGGTTTGGGAGCAATCTTCAGCTGGTTACAGATGGTTACACATCGATCGCTCCAAGCCAGAAGGAGCATGCCTTCCATTGTACCCGTAAGTAGCCCTGCTCACCGAACGCTCCCATGCATGATGTTCTGCCAGATAAAAGTTTTTGGGGTTGGCCGACAGACGGATCCTGAATTCAACGGCCTTCCGCAAACCTTGGCGCCTTGGTCCAGAAGATCTCTGGATATGCTCCGTGGTCGTCCTGCTAACTTCCTGGTTCTATATGACGCTCCCCTGAGTTGGCATGTTTGACATGAATGTGCTGCATGTGATTCCACAGAGAAAGGTCATCAGCGTGCTATCAGCCAGTGCATCAAGCACACGACCCGTCGCATAGATTCATGACTAAGGATTATGTTTCACTTCCACAAAACCCAGAAGAAGGCCGCAGCTACTGAAAATGCTCTCTGGAGGGCTTCGGGTCAAAGGAGTGCCACTGTGACCAATGCCACTGCTGCAACAGCAACTACCATATCAACCACTGCCTGCTAGATATTTTTATGCGTAGCCATCATCGTCGTGGTCCTACAGTAACAGTCGTCGTCGTGGAGAGATGCAGTAGCCGTATAAAGTAGCAACAGTAGTAGTCGTAGTAGTAGTAGTAGTAGCAGCAGCAGCAGCAGTGGTAGTAGTAGCACGTAGCCGTAGTATTAGCAGTAGTAGTCGTCGTCGTCGTCGCAGTAGCAGCAGCAGCAGCAGCAGCAGGAGGAGTAGTAGTAGTAGTAGTAGTAGTAGTAGTGGTAGTAGTGGCAGTAGCAGAAGCTGCAGTAGCAGTAGCAGTAGCAGCAGTCTTAGTAGTAGTAGTAGTAGTAGTAGTAGTAGTAGTACTACTACTACTACTACTGCCGCTGCTGCTGGTCAATGCTCATACGGTACTGTCGTTGCAGGTCAATGCTTGCCACCTTTGCGTCTTCGTTCACTGCTTCGCGGTGCCGCTCATTGTCCTTCTGGCGCTTGGGCTTACGGGGTCCCAAGAGGCGCAGCCCGGCGGCCATCGAAATTTGGTGGATTTTGGGTGTGTGGAGTTCTGGGGACATCGAAGTGCGAAGTTTAGACTATGCATCGCAGAAGCTCCGAGGCCGAAGCCACCTCAAACTCCATCTTCTAGGATTCTAGGAGGCCAGGAGCAGCTTAAGCATGCTGCACGTCTGCCGTTCGATTGAAAGAAAGCATCGAGGGATTGGACCAGCAGGTTCTGCTCCGGCAGTCCAGAAGCTGCTGAAATCTGCAAGGCAAGATTGAGAAAAAAACGACATTGATTCAGTTCTGCACACAGCAGAGCTTGGCGCCGAAGGCCACTCAGGACCAGGCACTCAGCCACCACACTATGATCAATTACGTATCGGGTCTAGCACACGTCATGTGCACGCTTTCAGCTTGACCATGACACCGTCGGGACGCGAGGACACAGAGACGGCGGAACAACAGATCACCGAGATAGGCAGACACGGTCATACTGGACACCCCTCCTTCCTTGGATTCCTGTCTGCCTGCCATCCCTTCCAGTGGGTTGAATGTTTAAAGCAAGGGGTTTCCCCCTGACTCTCTGCGCATAAGTGCACGCGAGCGTTTTACTCGGTGCCCACGACAGACCAGGCCCAGGGTGCACGAGCTTTCAAAAACCGTAGGTTAACCTTCCCGCAAATGGCGACCAAACATGCGAGCTGCACGAGACATGTTTAGAGTCGAGCAGATGAAAACCAACCCCTAAGCTAGCATGCTGCGAGGACCCGCCGTGGTAAAGAGTCCATGCGTGCCTCTACGTCAGGAAACGTTCACACTGGTCCCGATAAATGAAACACTGCAACAGCACAGGAAAAGAGGGATTCCAGTTCAGTTCACTACAAAATGACAGGGGCTGCATGGTTCTACGACCATGGACCATAGAGCGTTGCCAACCACTTGCTGGTGAGACTCGCAATACCATGCCAAGCCGCCGAGGCATACAGCCCTCTGGATATTCCCACGGTTTAGGGTTTAGGGTTTAGGGTTTAGGGGTTTAGGGTTTAGGATTTAGGGTTTAGGGTTTTAGGGTTTAGGGTTCAGCAGCTCTGACTTTGAACATTTCATGTCAGGCTATTTCTAGTCAAGCTATCTTCTAGAAGAAACCCCACCCGCCCACAGAATCCCATTACATTAGATTTAAGAGTTTTATTTCTTTTGGCTTGATGACTCTTTAAAAGATCACTTACATATAAATATTTGAGATCGTAACTTTTCACTCTTTCGATCAAGCAGGTGCTGTTTCTTTACAGTCGTTCTCGCCACACGCTTCACTTTAAGAAATTATTTCTGCCGACTAGCTTTCTAAGAGAGATAGTTAAGAAACACAACATCGCCCTAACCCGCGGAAGCTGCGGTCACGCCATCGCTTTACGATAGCAACTATAGCTGTCAAGTGTCATGACTTGAATCTCCTCAACTAGCAACCACAGCTATCCAGCTTTCTAAGAGAACTAGTTAAGAAACACAAGATCGCCCTAACCCGCCGAAGCTGCGGTCACGCTATCGCTTTACGATAGCAACCATAGCTGTCAAGTGTCATGATTTGAATCTCCTCACCTAGAACAGCTATCGATATTTCTAAGAGAGCTAGTTAAGAAACACAAGATCGCCCTAACCCGCCGAAGCTGCGGTCACGCCATCGCTTTACGATAGCAACCATAGCTGTCAAGTGTCATGACTTGAATCTCGTCACCTAGAACAGCTATCGAATTCGATTTCATGTCTTTCAATGTTTCCACATCGGACTGTGTCCACTGCCTGACAACATTGCCTCTAACAGTTGAAGCTGCGGTCACGCCATCGCTTGACGATAGCAAGCTCAGTTGTCAAGTTTCTTTGTGATGACCTTCCAGCAGCTCAATTCCTTCATCAAGAAGGCTGCCTTGAGACGGATGACCCATAGTCTTCCAAAGGCAAAAATCCCAAGACAGTTATCTGAGACGGATGACCCATAGTCTTCCCCAGGCAAAAATCCCAGGACAGTTATCTGAGACGGATGACCCATAGTCTTCCCAAGGCAAAAATCCCAGGACAGTTATCTGAGACGGATGACCCATAGTCTTCCCAAGGCAAAAATCCCAGGACAATTATCTGAGACGGATGACCCATAGTCTTCCCAAGGCAAAAATCCCAGGACAGTTATCTGGGACGGATGACCCATGGTCTTCCCAAGGCAAAAATCCCAGGACAGTTATCTGAGACGGATGACCCATAGTCTTCCCAAGGCAAAAATCCCAGGACAGTTATCTGAGACGGATGACCCATAGTCTTCCCAAGGCAAAAATCCCAGGACAGTTATCTGAGATGGATGACCCATGGTCTTCCCAAGGCAAAAATCCCAGGACAGTTATCTGAGACGGATGACCCATGGTCTTCCCAAGGCAAAAATCCCAGGCCAGTTATCTGAGACGAACCCATAGTCTTCCCAAGGCAAAAATCCCAGGAGTCTTCCCAATGCAAAAATCGCAGGACAGTTATCTGAGACGGATGACCCATAGTCTTCCCAAGGCAAAAATCCCAGGACAGTTATCTGAG